TAAGTTTTAGTTAAAAACGTAACTTTTCAGTCCCCACGCAAATTGTCAAACCGCAATTTTTCTGCAATTTTGCCCCGTCATCATAGTTTCCCTCGAGTTGAACCAATCACACGGCTCCCTGCGCAAAATCTGGATGTACGGCACCAAACTCACGTCCGTGTTTGAAGCACGTTGTGAAGCCGCAGACGTGTGACATGAAGAGAGACTACAGCCCTAGTTCACACCTTCAGGCTTCAGTACTGCAAGATCAAATCTGGCACTTGACACTTAATGTCTAGGTCATTTTTAAATGCAAACCTCAACGTTTCTTCAAACATCTTCTGACCTACCTGGAGTAGTTGTCCGGCCAGGTGTGTTGACGTTCTTTTGGTTTACACTCAAGACAAACTCCTCTGTGGGTGAAATAGTGAAAGTATCAGCACAGTAACATTATCTTCCCACAGAAGTGCAGTGGTGCACGTTTCATTTTCCCTTTTAACCAAACAACTGGAGAGTCCACAGAGTCCACTCACCAGAGGCCTCCAGCTCCCACCGCCTCGTGGTTTTGTCGTAAGCAGCAGCCAGATCACACCTGTAGTTTCCAGAGTCTTCAGCTGTGACTGCGGACACCTGAAGTCTGACTCGTCCGTCTCTGAGAGCGTCTCTGTCGCAGTGAACCCCGTCCTGCGAACCGCTGATGCTGAGACTCCGGAGCCTCAACGCCCTTTATCATCTGATAGAAAAGCTCCAGAGGCTCCGACTGGAGAAAACAAACCATGTTGCTGCGAGTCATGTCGGCTTTGGTCTGAAAGTCCCATCCGATGGTGATGTCACCGTTCTCCTCTGCCTCATAGAGGCGCGGAGACATTTTCACCAGGTACATCCCTGCAGAGAGAGAGAGGCGGGAAAGAAAGGCTCACTAAGGATTAGTGTCATGTACACAGTGTGTTTAAATGAAGGATGAGCAGCAGTTTATAAAATGAAGTAAAACCACTCACACATAGAGATGAGCACGATCAGAATCCACGCCATGTTTTCCCTGTGAGGACAGACAGGAAAGTAATGAGGAACAGGTCCGGGAAACATTGTGGGAAATAATCTGATCATGTCTGTGATGTAAATATTAGGCTACAAGCAGCAACTGGTTATCTTAGCTTAAAAACACAGGCCACAGGTGGAACACAGTTCTGTTCTAATTTGTAGACGAAGAAGAGAAGACGATTAAAGTCCTGGTTGGATATTAGTTTTATCTTTACTGATGTTGCTGCAAAGTCACCAATAGAAGTAGAGAGATGTTGAGCCGGTGGTTTTTTTCAGCTCCCACACTCTTCCCAGAAGTGTAAGAAAAGGTTTACCACTTCAGGGCTTTTACTGTGGCAAATGGCAGTGGTCTGAAACTGGTGGCCCACAGGACAAAACAGGCCCCCGGCAATAACATCTGGCCCCTCAGATTATTTCCATTATATGATTTTTTTTAATCTAAAAAAAATAGATGTCCTTCTGAGCAGCAACAGTTACACACAGATTCGCTTCCTCTTTAGCAGTTTTGACGAGAAAATAAAACCACAACTGTGCGCTTTTATTCTGAAAAGTTCTGAACGGAGTCCTAAAGTTCTCTTGTCTGACAGAGCAGAGGCGCGAATATGAAAAAGGACTGAAACCGGATGAGAAAGAGTGAGACTCTATGATCGTAACCACATTACTCTTACTACGGCTGTTTTTGTTTCGCATGTTGGAATAAACTATGAGTGTTGAACCTTGGGTAAACTGCTGACCTGTGGGTGAGCAGGAAGACAAGGAATCCATGACACATCCGGGTTTTACGGTTATATTGTTGTTTGGGAGTCTATCTACATCCTGCAGAGGTTTAGTGACGCACCTACTTTCAGGAGCAGGTGAGCAATAAAAGCGAATCACGGAGGAAAGGTCCGGAGGGGAACAGCTGATAGTTACAACGCCCAGAACAACATACGATATAAGCAGCTCGAGTTCTGTCATAAACACTGAATGGGTTCAACATATATTCACATGACACATTAGCGTGTGGGTGTAAATCATAACTGTTCCTCGTGCTGGTTGAAAGGTGATCCTATAGACACAGAGAGATGAACACATCTGCTCGGACAGATGTTGCAGTGCGTATTAAACCCTCACACCCTGACAGCGGAAGTGACGATCTACACAATAAAGCAAAAAGAAAAGTTTTCATCAATTCTCACCTGCGTGACAAGAGAAAACACTTTACATCCCCCGCGAACATTCATCCACTGCTGTGAGAAGAGAGCGGCTGTCTGCCGCTGTGAAGCGGAAAGTACCACTTCAACCACGTGGTAACGGTGAGCCTTGAGCGCGCGGTTGAACTGATACAGATGCCAGCGCGCGCGCGCGCGCGGGGGGGGGGGGGGGGGGGGGGGGGGGGGGGGCACGGTTGGTGAAAAAACAGGCATCAGTGCAGCAGTAATATATTTTGACTTTTCTCTTCATATATAATAAAGGGATGTATGTTGTTTGTTGCACTTTGTCTCTCTTGTTTCCGTTGTTTTGTTTTATTTTGTTTGGCTTTTTAAGACACTGGGACAGTGAACTCAGCATCTACGCGCTTGCTGTCGAATCTGCGCCACTGATCTTTGTAATTCATCAACGTCTTTAGTTTGAGTTTAAACCACCGCAGCAAAAGTGTTTCAACTGAAGCAAATGCTTCGTGTTGACGGTCCGACATCTACTGAGAATGTAAGAGAATGTTTTCTTTATTCTAAGCTTTCCTTTACAGCCATTATCATAAAGGCAATCAACATATTTTCTATCATGTGTATTAATATCTGTAGGAGCTATTTATTTGTTGTTTTATTAATAATTAGTATCGTTTGATTATTCTAGATGTTTGCTTTATTTAGATTTTTGATAGTATTTTATTTTGTTAGTCGTTTTAGTTTATTTATTTACCTGATTCTCCTTCCTCTGGCTGCGAGACTGGAGAAAGTCATATATTACTACAGAGGCCGCCTGTGGCGTCATCGTTCAAAGTTTGCAGGCCAACATTACGGAGCACGCTGCCAGGTCTGCACACAAGAAGAAGAACTATACATGGAGATGACGCATCTCTACAAGTCTGTGTCATCTTCGGGCCCTCGTGTAAACTTGTGATGGTGGCACGGTGGTGATATACAATAATAATGTTTTCAAATCATATTTTTCATGTGGAATATTGATAATACAGTACGTGTCTGACTTATTTAAAATCATAATCTGCAGAGAAAGTTGTAACTAATTAGAACAAAAGAATATCGTGGAGCAAATCTACATTTGTGACGTAACAGTGATGACGTCATTCGAATATGAAAGGAAAAGATTAAAATCAATCATAGTCAAAAAGATCAAAGCCCAAATGATCCTGCGCAGATAGAAGTTAGTAAATATCACTATCCACTCGTATCCCGGAGCAGTTGAGAAGCAGAAGGTTTGTAAAGATGGCGGACACTGAACCACGAGGCTGTGCTGCCTCCACAGAGAGCCACGACGCCGCTGAGCACCACGTTATCGTGGCCGACGACTTCCTTCACTTTCTCGCCGTGAAGATGTCGACACTGAGCCACGAGGAAATCATCCGGTCGGCTCTCCATACTTTTGACCCCGAGTGGATCCGGTCCTCGACTAAAGTGTTGTTTGACCTGTGTCCTCCAACACAGCAGAGAGTCTCCCATGAAGGACCGCTGAGACACGGTAACAACATAAAGGACTGTCTCACGCTAATGACCGAGTGTGGGGACGACTCTCCCAGATTTGTCTCTAGTCACTCTCATGAACTGTCACCGGTCGCGCGTGCACAGAGTGTCCCGGTCCCGACGCAGCAGCTTTACACCTGCAGCTGCGCGGCCCGCTCCGACGTGAAGGCACCGGCGGGAGCGTCCGACCTGGGCACAGGAGCGACCACCACGGATCGTCCCAGCGGATTAACTTCGCCACGCTGTATAATAAGGATCCACGTGAAGGAAAAGACCCAAACTCAGGTTCCAGAGAGCGATGCTGTGACACCAGACTGTGTCAACATGGAGCCACTATTTACAACATTTACAGTGGTTTGAAGAATTATCCACATAAGGAGAAAATAAATAAACTCATGGATAGATAGGCTAATGGAAATCTGTATTATCAATTTATCAACTTCACAACTTCCTTTCTAGAAATCAACAACACACTGACACAAACACTGATGTGACTGAATGTGATGTGGTTCTCAATCTGTGGGCTGGGGCCCTCTGGTGGACCGCAAAGGTACCGACAGTGGGCTGACAAACCTTTTGGAAAACATAACAATTTTGGTGAAAAGATTTAATTATATACAAATAAAAAAGTATATAAATAATGTTTTAAAATAAAATGATCTATAAAAAATGTTGAAAAACTTCATTATTATCGTTTTTTAAAATGATTTTACTTGATGATGAACTGGTGAAACCATTTATTTCTACTGTAAACTACAATGAAGCTGGAGGTGTTGCTGACTGAACATCAGAGAGAGGCTCGGAGCCTCCTCTCTTCTGATTGGTCACCGACCTGTTGTTACTAGAGCTCCAGAGAGAAGATTCATGTGATGGTACAAACAAACAGCAACTCTTCATTTAGATTATGTTTTGGTTTTTAAGTATTGCACTGTTTCACAGTTTACATCCTGTGTAATCCTTTATAACTCCAAGTGACAAACTGAGATCAGAGCTGAACTCCGGGTTTAAAATCTGCTCCAGAGAAAAACACTTGGTGACGTCATCACCTTCAAACATCTCCACACAGAGTCCGTGATTCGTGGGGTTCAGCTGTCGCTGGTTAAATCCCACCTGATGCAGTCTGGACAGAGGATACAGGTTATTCCAGGTGCAGCTCCAAAGGTCAAAGTTCACACTTGTTCTGACCCACTGTGTCCAGCTGTGGCTGCAGGTGTTGCTGGTTTGAGGAGAGGGAAATGTATCACGCTCTCATCTCCATCAACAACAACTACCAACGTTCCCCTGAGCAAGGCACCTGGGGTCACACCGGGTTGCTTGAGGCGGCATCGTACTTCACACCCTGGAGGAACAGATGTTCAACAGTTGGTCAGATAAATCCCAGGAAGGTTTGATACAACAGGAAGTAACAATGTTTGTTTATTTACTTACATCTAGTTTTTGACGCCGTCGTCTAATCAAGTATCCACTGACTCCAGCAGCCAGGATCAGCAGGACGAGGAGAACCACAGGCAGGATCCAAACGATGGTTCTGGTCTGATCACCTGATGTGAAAGAGTTAAACAGAGACGACAGCTGCATCACTGAAAGTTCACAAACACCAACAAAGCACCAAAAAGGCTTTTTGTGTCGTCTTCACAGAGTCGGAGCGTTTCCTCACCTTTACTGTCCGTCCTGTCTCCTGGATCTGGAGTTGGGAGGTTTCTGGGCGGAGTCTCTGTCGTCTGGTTTTTAAGGTTTGGATCTAGAAAAACACAAGATTTGAATATTAATCAGTAATCAATACAGTTAGAAACAGCTGAAATTGTGTCTGTTTCTAACATAAAAAACACAATGACAGATATTAATCTCATTTCGACCACTCCACGGTAAACCTCTGCACGTCTAATGAAGGCTGCAGGTGGCATGGCAGGATGACGTCATCACTCAGGGCAGCGATGATTGGCTGAGATGAACCATCATCATCTGAGGCTCAACTGGACAATGGAGGGTTTGGTGGGGAAAAGGGTAATTTAACGTGACCACAGGTGAAACACATTAAGGCGGGGCAGACAATCTGCAAGGAGGGGAAAAAATGACAAAATAAAACTTAGTGTAAATTAGAGACTTTATGAGAGTATTTATCAGCTACAAGGACAAAAGATATTCAAAAGCTTAACCAGCTGATTTGATCTTTATCTGACCCAGAGCCTTATTATATCTGCTCAGTGTGCAGCCTCATCTCTCCATGTCAACATCAAATAAACCTCCAACAACCCGCTAGAGAAAAACACTCCTTACTCCGGACCTTTCCTGAGTCATCACGTTTCTAAGTTTCTAACCCCACCCCCACCCCCCTGCATTTTAGCCCATGTGACAGGAAATCAACAGAACAGGATTTACTTTCGCTTTGGTTTGTTGACAACAACAATCTGTCACGCGCTGATCAGACTTTTTCTAACCTCAGGAAGTTTAAAAAGTTTGTCTGTAGAGAAGAAGTTCTTCGTCCAGTTTATCATCTAATAATTAATGTGCCATCAAGTGGAACAACCGCTGACCTACAAACAAGTAAGTAACTGAAACATAAAGTCTGATTTAAAGTTTGTCTTCAGCCGTTACTTTTCACGTTTGTGTCACAAGGACCGATGACGCAGCTGTTAAACCACCGTCCCAGTTTGTTGCGCTTTAATTACTTTCACGTGAGATTAAAATTTAATTAAAAAAAAATTTAATTTAAAATTATTAAATTAAACGATAAAAAAAGGAGGCATTTTTAGTTTCAGCTGGATCTTAAATAGTTCTACATGATAAAGTAGTTGAAATGCAGGACGCTGCGTGATGAGCCTTTAAATAATAAAATCCTTTTGGACACAATTTTCAAACAGAATAAAGAAAATAAAGAAAAGACTTAAGATTAATATCATAATAAAATATGATGCAACAATTTACCCCGTATCATGAGTACTTACCACGTGACAGGGCAACTAGTCACATGAGCACATTCCGTGCTCGGCCATTTATAACTCTATATTAAAGTGAGGAGTAAAAATCTAAAGATTGTGCATGAGAATTTATTGTTTAATTTAATATAATGAGTCAAAATCATTGAACACACGTAGGTATTCAAGTGTAGATTGTTTTTACTTTACAGCTGCAGTGATGCAGGTCACATGGTACATAAGTTACCCCGGTGTCCCCTCTTACTTCAACTGTAGCTCCACAAACCACAAAAACACAACTTCATAAATTATCACTTGATGACAGATTTATTTAAATAGAAAAATACTTTGTTATTATTGTTATTTCTAATTAGAATGATTTGTTTTATTTCCAGCTCAGTGTCTGACTGCGATGAACCCAGTCAGTTGTTCAGCAGGAAAACTCAGTCCTCGCTGGTTTGTCCGTGAACTTGGGTGAGGTGTCCCTGGATCCCGGGAACAGCTGACCGACACCAACATGAACAGGTAGGAGACGGTTATTTTAAAACTTAAACCGGAACATGGGGTTTGTTTTCTGAATGTGAACAGATAAAAAAATATATATATATCTTGTAGTGTTTTCACTCTGAATTAGTTTGAGTTGTGTCTGTTTGCATGTGTTTTCTTGAGCAGGGCCTCTGCGACATTTCATTAAACTCTCATCTGTACTGACGATTCACTTAAATGAATCCAGAATACAAGTGATTGATGATTAGATGTAAAACTTCTTGTCTCACAGGGAGAAGATGATCTTGATCCTTCTGCTCGTTGGCCTGACCTCCTGTGTGTGTGGTGAGCAGGGCTGACGCTAATTACTGTTCTTATTAGCAAATAAATAATAATGATGATTGTATCCATTAATAGTTTAGTCAATAAAATGTAAGAAAAAAAAAAGTTGTGAAAATTCTGGAGGCTGACTGATTGATTGATCGACTAATTGTTTGTGATGTGTTTAAGGCACATTAACTGCACATAATTTGAGCCTTGTAAACATGATAAGAACAAAGTGTAAAATCTAAATCAGTTCAGTAACATCTTAATGTCAGTGAACTTCACATCATCTCTCTCTCTCTCTCTCTCTCTGCAGGGATGTACCTGGTGAAGATGTCTCCGCGCCTCTATGAGGCAGAGGAGAACGGTGACATCACCATCGGATGGGACTTTCAGACCAAAGCCGACATGACTCGCAGCAACATGGTTTGTTTTCTCCAGTCGGAGCCTCTGGAGCTTTTCTATCAGATGATAAAGGGCGTTGAGGCTCCGGAGTCTCAGCATCAGCGGTTCGCAGGACGGGTTCACTGCGACAGAGACGCTCTCAGAGACGGACGAGTCAGACTTCAGGTGTCCGCAGTCACAGCTGAAGACTCTGGAAACTACAGGTGTGATCTGGCTGCTGCTTACGACAAAACCACGAGGCGGTGGGAGCTGGAGGTCTCTGGTGAGTGGACTGTGGTACCAATGCAGGATGGGACTGTAACCATGGTTACGGCTGTAAATCTAATTCTGATTTCCACCCTCAGAAAAGTTTGTTCTGAATGTGAGTCGGAAGTATGAAGGAGGCGCCGCTGACAAACCGAAGCCCGGACCGGAAACGATTACAGGTGAGTCAGACGTCCTCCGAGGACCTGCGTGGTTTAGAAGCGTTGCCGTGGTAACTGGTGTAGTAACCTCGTTTAAACTCGATTAAAGATGTGAATTAACACATGCTGTGTGTTTGCTGTACAAACACTGGTCTGCTGTCTCCATGCAGGTCCAAAACAGCCGAAAGGAAGTCCACATAAGGAATACGTTTTCCTGGCTTTGTTCATAGCAGCTCAAGTCGTAGCAGTTGCAGCAGCTTTTGGAAAAATATTATGCAAACGCCCAAAACAGGAAGGTATTTCTGCTCACTGCGTCTCAGTCTAATGAGTTTGAATGTCTTGCCATAGTCTTTGTCTGCACTTACCTTTGTCTCATATCGATCATGCAGATTCAGACCAAAGTGGACGCTCTGGCTCCGAGTCCTGGACTGATGAAGTTCACGTCCACGTTCCTGACAGCTCCGGTCCTGGATGAACACGGGAGAAACTACTGTATGTGGTGGAGGGATGACTTCCTCTGCAGCTCCGCTTCCTACAATCTGTGCCTGCACTGTTAAAAAGACACTATAATTAATATAAGACACTTAAAGACTGACACTACTGTCAGTTCCCCTCCTCTGTCCCGCTGCGGTTAATTAAATGCTCCAGACCTTCACAGCATTAGTCCTGCAAGAAAAAAAGAAAAGGCATTATTATTAAGTATTAACAGATTAACTGTGATCAAATGTATTTTTCCAAATGACTGATCTGATGTACACACTTAGACCAAGTTACATTTTGCACTGACTCAAGTTTATGATCTACCTGTAGCCAAGTTACCACGAATCACCGTTCTGCTTAGGGTTGTGTATATATTTTCTATTTTATACGTGCAATTTTATTTAAATTATTTCTTTATTCATTTAATTTTTAGACATCTTGTATAACTTTGTATAGTTGTTTTAAACTGCTTTATTTTCATTTATATGACCTCTGAGTGTTTTAATCTAAATGAAGTGCAGCAGGTTCCAGACCGCAGCTGTTCATGTCCTTCACTTTCACAACTCAAACTGTAGAAAGAGTTCATGTTGTTCAGGTGTCCTCTTCACACAAAACACAAACGCAACAATAGATAAGCAAAAAGAGGAAGTAGAGAACGAGTATTACCACGTGATTTTGTTTTTTGATTAGGATTTACAATCAAACAAAACCATATTGATTGATACTGATTGTTTTCTTACTGTTGAGTCTTGTGCTCTTCCTTGTAATAAATGACCACAGTAACAACAGACACGCAGATTTCATTTTCTCTTGCACTGATTGGAAGTATTGAAACGGTGACATCTAGTGGCCAGCTCTCGGTATGACAACCTTTTCTTATGGAAGGATCTGAGTCAAACTTCAGGGAAAAACTCACACAGACTACAGAAGTCCATCTATTTATTTATTAGGTGGTTACTTAGCAACAACAGTGCAGGTAAATATTAGTACAGATAACATAACGATTACAGCATCAAGCTTATTGATTATTTGACTCTTTTTAAACATAAAACTCATCAGATGCAGGAACAAGAATATTTTCAACATGGTTCAATTCGTGCAGATTATTAAATAAACCATGTAAACGTGACCTTGATTTAAGCATCATGTTATAGTAGAAATATCATATAAAATGTAAGAAAAAAATAAAAAATATGTATTACTTTGTTCACAATAATATTAGTCAGCATAAAATTGGTCGTTTGTTCAGTGTAATTTCTTCCTCCTCCGAGCAGGAAACAGGACTCATCATCCTGCTATGAGACCAGCAGCAACAGCTCCTCTTTTAGCGTCAGCTCGAGCTGCAGGAAGAGCAGAGAAAGGCTGAGGTGTCTTTATCAACCTGTTTCCTTCCTGTCTAATTCTCTCCAGGAGCGACTATCGATGGCTTTATGGTCCCGCCACATAAATCTTCCCACTCCTTCTGTTTCTTTTACATAAAAAGTAAATTAACAACTGGGAGGTAGGATTTATAGTTAGTATATGTTGCTGTAACTCACCATTTTAGCTCTATGAACATCACTTCCTGCTGTCACTATAACTGAATTCACTTCATTTATGGTTCTAACATTGTTTGTAATTGACGACTCTGCTTGTATCAGGATCAGTAACAGCCAATAAATCAAATTAAATATACGACCAGGGAGGTGAAGATCAGTAAAGGCAGCGGCGTGCACGAGGAGAGGATGTGGCAGCACAACAAAGAATAAAAACAAACCAAACCCCGGATATTGGGCGCTTGTGGAGAAAATCAGAGAGCGAGGTGGTTCGACAGCTGCAGAGATGTACTGTATGTGACCGAGGGTTCGAGTACATCAGTGCCACAGGTGCCAGGTGCTTCCTGATCCCACGATCACACAGCACACAGACACACAGCTCAGTCCCAGATCAATGCTGCATTCAGGTGCTCCTCGCATGGTCCAATTTTTCAAGTTTGGGAAGTCGATCTTCCGACTTTGGTGTGTTCATGCGCTCTAATTCAGAATGTGGAAATAACATGGATGCTACAAAGATGATATAGTGAGGCTGAAACAACATGTTGAAAGCTGTTCTCAGTATTTGTGCTACTCATCAGGGTTACTGCTGATAAATAACATTTCTGACAGATCTAGGTCACTCTTCCTGGACAGCAACTAACGGTTATTCTGCCGCCGGGGTTTGGAGGTGGGAACATTATCGTGTTTGTTTATTGTTTATGTCAAGAAATAAAAAGAGTTGGTAAAAAAAAAAAAACAAGTCCGCACCAGAAATTTTCAACGTTTTTGTTCCGACTTCCGACAGTCGGAAGCTTGTTTTTCCAATTATTTAGACAACACATGAATGCATGGCAAACCCCAGAGAGAATCCCAGGGGTCATCACATCACGTGACTTGCCCTCAAGCAACAGTTCACAACAAAAAAAGGAAAGAATCTGGAGAATTTTAACTAAAAATGCTAAAAAAATGTTTGTAAAGTTTAGACATCTCCAAGACATGACACAGCTAATAGATAATATATACAGCGATCAATATATTGTATTATCATCAGGGTTTTCTTACCTCGAGCCAGCCTTCGGTACAGGTATATACACATGATCATTATGGCAGTGTAGAGGACAAACAGCAGGACGGTGCACAGCAGCCTGGGCAGAGACATGAGGGGAGGAGTGGTGGGCTCGACTGCAGGCTGATCTCTGACTGTGAGGAAGAGACGACACAGTAAATATGGCGGCAGGTTCTTTAGGTCCTGTGAGTCGCAAGGTTGGTCGGTAGGTACTCCCCAACCCACAAGCCCCTTTGTTTCGGTGCTGCGTCCACCCAGTCTGGCCCTCGTCTTCACACCTGCCCCCCGCTCCCACATCCAACCTTTGAACAAGAACTCAGAATGTGCCCAATGGCTGGTCACAAGAACCCAAACCAGTCCGTCTTTGTGCTTTGGATCTCACTTCCCCTCAGTGTTCACTCTTTACCGTTTGTGTGGAGATACCAAGTTTCATTTCTCTGTTGAAGAACACACACAATGAAAAAGTCAAGTCTAAAAAGCAGAAACAAGTCAGACAGTTTCAAGCTGCCTTCAAGAGGTTTGTGCCCACAAGTGATTCGATACGGAGCGTCTAACTGTGACCGGGCAGCTTCATTGAGTTTGAACAATGAGGTGAGATTCCTGCCTGTAGAGCAGCTTTGTCTCAGAGACCCGTCTGTACCACCCGACAAATCACACACACACTGAACGTAGAGAGAAGAATATCATCATCATCATCATCATCATCATCACCGTCACCTCTCACAGCCAGCAAACTCTGTGGAGACTCTCCTTTCGTCGGGTGCCGACACTTGTAGAAACCTTCGTCGGACTTGGACACCGCCGGAAGGATCATCGTCCCTTCAGAGTGAATCCCGATGAAAACACCGTTTCTGTAGAACGTAGCATTGAAATCTGACTTAGACTTCTCCTCATATCTTCCCTTGACGGAACAGCGAAGTGTCACTTTATCTCCCTCCGTCACAGGAAGTGCCGGGCTCTCCAGGAGCACAGTACCACCTGAAATACAGAACGACAAACCATGATCCTCAGATTGTCCTCGTTTTTCAATCCTACGTTTTCCAGCTCAGTCTGTTTAGTTGTAGAAAACAAACTAAACATGTTCAGGAAAGGTGAAGAAATATACTTAAAAAGCAACAAAAATCATTTAAAGAATTTTGCAAAGCAATAACAAGACATGGATGCACAACTAATATAAATAGGCTGGATGATGAAAATATAATAAGTTACAGTATTCCTTCACTGAAGGAGTTCAAGTATCTGGAGGTCGTGTTCTCCAGTGAGGATGCAGCGGGAGATTGAGAGGCAGGTTGGTGCAGCGTCAGCAGAAAAGCAGGTGTAGTACTGGACTGTTGGAAAACGTTGCTGGGGACAGGGATGTCTGAGCTAGCTTGCTTGGCCTGCTGCTACCATGACCCAACCCTGGATTAAGCGATTGAAGATGAATAGATAGATAGATGGATGGATGGATGAGTTTTACAAATGAAACTTATTCTATCACATCATTAACACTTGTCTTTTTTGACTTGACTGTAAGAATATTTGGAATTGCAGGCTTACTGTTCACTGAGATGTCGAGGACGTTGCTGCGCTCCCCTTCCTTGGATTCGCACCAGTACACTCCGGTGTCTGACGAGTACACGCCCAAAATGGAGCAGGAGGAGCCCCTCAGGCGACCCCAGCCCACCTCACATGAAACGAACGACCCGGAGGAGGTGTTTCTCTTCAGTGTCCAGCTGCTTGAGTTCCCTGGCACTGCACAGCTCAGAGTGAAGGTCTCATACCGGAAGAACTGAGACCTGTCAGGATGGATACTGAGCGTGGCTGCTGTGAGTTCAGACAGGAAATGACAGACATTAAAGCAAAACCATAAGGGGGAGATCATCACCTGCTCCTTCTGTGAACATTGAAAAACAGAAACATTAAAAACACCTGTGCTTTTTCTTTTAACAAGCCATGTCGTGACTTCACTTTAGAGACCCATATTCTTTTATTTTGAGAAAATGAAACTAGGGTTTGAAAGTCATTCTGTCACCAAGACATGAGTGGCTGTCAAGGTAACATGACAGTTGACCCAAATTACAAAAATATGTTCTCACATGCCATATTGCCTTGTAGATAACCTTTTTTTATTTTGAGAAAACAAACAGATTTTTCTATATGCAACATGAACATGACTAAATAACTTAGTGTTATAGTATAACTTATTATTCAGCTTCACTGTATTGGAATGGAGAATGACAATCTGATCATATAAAAATAAAAACAATCTGCATGGTAACACCAAATATAAAAAACATTTTTTAAAAAAGCAACATTTCTTACACAAAAAGAGGCAGAGCGTCGAGATGTCCATTCTGTGTCGAAGTTCTCTTTGTTCCTCACTTTCAGACAGACATCAGCCCACATCCTGAGTTCAGCGGAAATCTGAAAGGTTAGAAGCTGAACAACAGAAATACACATACACACAATAACTCAGTAAGGAAACACTTGTATCTATCTGAAAAAAATATTTTTCTTGAATTTGTTATTCAAAACACAAATCAATGGAGCTGGACTGTCACTGCAGTCCATCTCCACAGCAACAGACAATCAAACCCAGCTGATCAAAAGGATCGCAGCAACTACATCAAACTTTGGTACTACTACCATTTTGGTCTACTACCAAACAAGAAGGCACCAATTCTCATAGGCACAGAATTTGTGGTCAGCTTTCTCTTCAGTGTGAAAGGGAAGCCAGTACAGTGCACTGGAAATGTTACTATCCTACAGTATTTTGCTTGTTTATCATGTCTGTAGTGTATAAATTATAGTTTTCGCTAATCTTTCATTTTTGGTGAGATATTGGATCATTTGAACTTTTACTGATGTAAATTTGCCACTTCAGTTTATTCATTTTAATAATAAATATTCTCCTCAACTGTCATCAGTCTTGTCCATTCCCTAATTTGTCATGGCCTAGAACCCAGGTTATGACAACCCTGTGAAAAACCTCTATTTGTTGGAGCTGTAAACAACATATAATTCTGAAATGTGACCCCAATTAATCACTGCTTTTTGTAAGACGTCAGAAGCCAAAAAGGTTGGAAACCAGTGGTTTAATCTTTAACAATCTGTTGTATTTCAAAAGCTTGTTATATTATCCATTGTGTAAAAATATTTATCTTTACAGGAACTTGTAACTAAAGCTGTCAGATAAATGTAGTGGAGAAGAAAGCACCACATCTCTCTCGCTAATGTATTGAGTTGTAGTATTAAGTAGCATAAAATGGAAGTACTCAAGTAGGTAAATGTACTTAATTACTTCCCACCACTGCTAATACAATTAGTGAGCCTTCAGCACACTAATATTGTTCAAATAACCAACCAGGTGACACTTTTGTATTCATAGAGGGTGTCAATTATAGAAGCTAATAAGATTAGCTCTAAACAACACTATCAAAATGAAATAATAAACTATACATTGATGTCAAAACGTATCTCTACATTAACTAATCCTCGTTTGTCTTACTGCTCATGACTGAGCACCAGTGTTTGCTAACATTAGATCATATATGACATGTTTTATTGGTAATAAAATGACAAGACAACACCTGGAAATGAAAGGGCGCGGTATCAGCTAGCTAAACTTAGTAAGCTAGTGCAGGATAGCACAACGTTAGCTTCAGCTACTTAACAAAAATATAGCAAAAAGGCAAAGCTAGCTAACATTAGCATTCATCCATAGATACTTAAGTATACACAGTGTAATTCAGAAACTGAAGGTAATATAGTAAAGTGTATTAAACAAGCTGAATAGTTAGCTACTGCTATTTACATTTACCTGAACGATCCAGTAGTAGCAGCACATAATTGCGCATGCGTGCCGCTGAGAGACTGAAGTGGGCAGACGTGACATTCAACTAACGTCCACATTATGATGACGTGTGAAGACTTGGTACGGTCCACTTTAGGGGTGTCCGAAATCGTATTACAAGATTCTTCCAGGCATGAATGTGTGAATTAAGTTTTAATATTTATAGTTATAAGTGAGAACTGTTGTTTTTAACCTTGCTGACGGTGTTGAGTGGTGAATTAGAATCTAAACATATTAATGACGGGTGTAACGGTTAACAAATAAAATCATACGGATAGCGAGGCCACGCATCCTCATACTGCCATATTGGCAAAAAAAAAAAAACAACAGCCTTGCTGTGACTGCTACCTGTCTACACTGACTTCTTCCAGGTGGCTCACCGGGTAGAGCGCGTGCCATAACGGCTTAGTTTTAACCGCACTGGCCCGGCCCTGCCATTTGCTGCATGTAATGTTAAAAGGTTAAATCAAAATGAAATTTCATGTTTATTCTTTTCACTGTACCGAAAACATACAAAAACCGAGTTATGTACCGAAATATGTTGTACACACATAAAAACAGCCCATACTAAGGCTTTGACTCCGTGTTAGACATTCAAATATTCCTTCGAAGGAGCGGGAAAAAGCTTCAAAATGTACAGACCATTTCGAGTAGTTTGCATTATGAGCCAGGGCAAAAACCTTTTCCAAAACCTTGGAAAATAGTGCGGTGCAACTCAAGACAATGGTAGGAAAACTGAATAAATAACACAAAGATGAGCCTTCTACTTCACACATCAAGGTATTTTTATTTTGTGATTTTACATTGCATTTATTGGTCAGTTGTTAGCCTTTGTTCTCACATTAATTGTTTATTTAGATTCCCTTTTTATTACTGATGTATGGTGTTTTGTGTGTACCCTGTGTTACTAATACATGTCTGGCATTTTGTAACAAAATTCAGAGGGTTATGATGATTTTACTTGTGTATAGAATAGAGTACCTCTCCTCAACCATGAACCTCTCACTAACTAATTTCAATTAAAAAAAAAATAAATCAATCTTTAATGTGTTTATTATGTCTCTAAATGCCTGTTGTTATTTTATCCATTTTAAACCCGCACCCTGAACACGTTTATCCTCCTGTTGACAGAACACAGTGCAGTCTCCCCTATGTATACACTGTAAACACACTTCAGCCATGTGTTGTTTAAAGACCCAGTTTTGTTTTCGCAGTATCACGCGAGAATGAGTGATGTTGTTGAATATGCATCACGAACTTTCAATTTCACTGCATGAAAAGATTTTTACAGACTTTGTTTTACAGCTTCTACATGAACAAAAATCACATATTCTCACTCCTCGTATTATAACTGGTGTAGAGTTCAGACGATAATTTTCACCTTGAAATACAATTTGCCCTTGTGTTGTACCTCATGTTATATCTCAATCTTATCAAATTATTACTAATTTTTCTCAAAGTTTGCTCTGCCCTGTGCTTTCTATGCAGAGTTTCAATAAGTATGACCGTTATCAGACCTGCATGGAGGAGTAACAGCGACCTGAAGGACAAACACGCCCCTCTCTGGATACCACTCTTTATACATAAACATAGACACCATCTCTCCCACGGGAGCAAAGACACGACCTTCACGACCTGTAAAGGTGTTGTTGGCTATTTGAGATGCAGTGTGTTGATATTGCTTTGCTTCTCTCTGTGGAAACTAACATTTGCACTCTTGGTTTGTTCTGTCTGACGTCTGTGAAGGTTTCCATCAGCGCTGGTAAGGAAACTTGTTTATTGTATTTCATGAACTCGTCAGACTGTTTGTGTTTCAGTGAATGAAGATAAAGAATCATCACATCCAACTTGATTCATGATGATTAATTAATATTCATACTGAGCTTTATTCGATCAACTTTGACATGTAACTTTCTGAAATATGATGCTTTAAATCACAGCGACAATAAACAACAGGGTCCTATTTTGAGTCTTCAGTCGAGGCGACCAATCAGAGGGCATCTACTACTACTTTGCTTCTTCTGTTTCTATTATTGACTCTGGTCGAGAGAGTCGAGGTCACAGGAAGCAAAGGTTGATGCAGCTCTTGTAATGCTCAGATGATGTTAACACTGTTTAAAACAAGCTTTTCTATTTTTGAATCTTTTGTTATTTATGAAAACAGAAAACAGCTGTTTTTCTGTGAGCTGCAGTTCTGATGACAGCCTGTGGGGGGCGATGTGGTATCGTGTTTGTGACTCTTCAGCTCTGTCTCCTCTCACAGGGAGAAGATGATCTGCTGCATCCTGCTGCTCCTCACACTGACCTCCTGTGTCTGTGGTTAGTTTACTCCTTCACTTTATTATCTAGAAACTGATACAAGTCCTCAGTTAGTCTGCTCCTCACTTTCCCTCTCTGTCTCCTCAACAGGAACATTTGTAGTGAATGTGACACAGAGCTCCTATCAGGCAGAGGAGAACCACAACATCACACTGGAGTGGAGCTTCACAACCAAACCTCACACTCCATCTGACTCCCTTTATATTCTATGTGAGATGTTTACTGATGATCTCAAAGCCTCAAAAGTCCTGTATCATCTACATGAGGGTGTTGAGTCCCCAGAGTCTCAGGATGAACAGTTTTCAGGACGAGTCCAGTGTGACAAGGACGTCCTCAGAGAAGGACGAATCAGACTTCATGTGTCCAGACTGAGGACTGAGGACTCAGGACTGTACCTGTGTGAAGTCAACACAGATTATGGTGCAAACTTTGGCAAATGTCGACTCAGCGTCTCTGGTGAGTGAATTAGCAGTAAAACAAGTCTCTGCTGCCATGCTAGCAGCTCTGTGAGGCTGTGCTGTGGGGAAGTGTTGCTTAAAGCTAAATGCTAACACATCAGGTTAGCATGTTAGCATGCTAAACACAAATAAATAAGCAAATGCTAAATTTCATCTGGATCCATCCAGTAGCTGCTGAGATGTTTCAGTCTGGACCGAAGTCATGGACAGACTGATCCACAGAGACATTAGACCGGCACCATCACTGTCCACCACGATTACCCAGAGTTCCACAGTCTTTCTCCCAGAATCCTCAGACACAAATATATTCCATTTACACTGATGTTAAACAGAGAAAATCTTTACACTTGAGAAGCTGGAACCAGAAAAGAATTTTCTCGACATTGTTGTTGTTTTAGCATCAGTTTAAAGATTGAATTCAGTCTCTCAGCAGAAGAAATGTTTCCACTTCAGATAAATCAACATGTTCATTGTTCTCTTCAGCAGCTGTTGATCAGCCTGAAACTCAGAGACCAACTGAGAGACCAGAACCAGAGAGTTATAAAAGGATCCTCCTCTACGCTGGACTGGGACTGACAGCAGCAGCAGCAGCAGCAGCTCTACTGGTCAAACTCTGCTGTTCCTCAAGTCCTTGTTTCACTAAATCTCCTGATGAGACAGTAAACCTTTATTCAGAGGTGTAAGAGTTACGTTCCTCAGAGAGCAGACTTCTCTCTGTCTCTGCTTCCTTTCACCCTGTTGGTCCATGAGGCTGCTTTTCTCTGCACACCCAGTCTGACCTCTGACCTCTCTCACAAGACTAACTGTCATCACAGTTGGTCACCTGAGTCTTAAAAAGTGAGAAAGACTGTGACTGTGACTAGTGTCACATATGTGAATTGTGATATAAGTTATCGTTGGATCTTATTATTATTTGTGTTTAAACTCCTGCAGCTTCGAGTCATGTGGACTGTTGTTGCATCATATCAACACCTGCTACAGAACCTGTGAGACAATAAACAGGTGTGTTAGAGGTTGTCAGGTGGTTTCCTGTTTGTACTTTGTTACAGGTGTTTACTCTGAAGATGAGCTTTCAATTAACAATCCTCCAGATCACACTGTGATGTGTTATTCTTACCAATGACTTGTCTTGTTTGAGCTCGACCTTGATCTAATATCCCGACACCTGTTTAGATAGATGATGTTTTTATTTATAATATCAAAGATGAAACAGCCTTTCTTCTAATAATCACTTCCTGTTACGATCCACCGCTTAAAAACTGCTGTTGATGAATTCGTGGTTTAACTAATCTGGACTGGAGCCAGAGACAGTTTTTTGATTCATTTATTAATGTTGTGATTGAATCCAGGAAATCCATCTAAAGAAATTATTTATTCTCGTAAAAAGCACTGGCGTACAGCCAGTGAGTTTTCCACCTCACACCCTGAGCCATAAATAAACCTCGGTTTGGCTGTAAGCCACAGAAAAAGCTTTTTGAAGGTGATTATTTTCATTTGTTGGTGAGTCCCAAAGGTGTGTCTGCTTTAAAGATAAAAGAGCGTTAAAATTTTACTCCACATTTTCAGATTCTTCTTCTCCTGCTCTTTATATCCTTCTCTTCTCCTACTTTAACACTTTTAATCTGCACTTTGAACTGCAGCAACACAGAACTCAGTAACACATGATGAGACACGTTATCCGATGTGATGGACGATTCACGGATCTTGAAGACTGTGAAGCTCAAAACCTGGAAGGGGTTCCGCAGGTTTTGATAAAAGTCATTAAATAAAAGGAGAAGGAAGTTGGTTTATACAAACATTTTCTAAACTTGGTCTCATTTTTTCAAAACTCTACGCACGAGTCCAAACGTTGCACACAAAATGCAAAGTGCCTCAAGTCTGCTGCAAAATGCAACAATGCACTGGAGATGTCAAACAGGGATGTGCTCCATCCTCCACTTTACCGGTCTCAGAGGTTTTGCAGGAGACGATGAAACCACAGTGACAGTAACTCGGAAAGTGGCTTGTCTCTAATTGTGAAACCTGAGAATCACATTCCACCAAGATGGAATGTGATCACTGTGACTCTCTGGAATACACCTGCATACCTCGGTATAGGTGCACTCAGACTATGTTGTAGGACTCAGACAGATCATCATGAACAGCTACTTTTGAGCGGCGATGATGATGATGATATCTCCTCTCTCACCTCTCGTCCTGGCTCCCCCTTGCCAGAGAATGTTCATTGAATCTCACCAATCAGTTCCTGTGTGTGGATGTTGGAACATGCTGGGGAAATTATATCCGTATATTTCCTGTCAGATATATTTCCTGGTATCTTAAACAATAGTATGTGTAAGAGACAATGGATTGTGTAAGAGATGATGGTATGCCATGATGACAATATGATGATACAGTCATCTACATCTGCAAGTATCTGCTGTTTATCTTTAACTATCCCATCAGCTCTGACAGAATGTGACCTGAGGGAAGGTGGTTGTTGTGGTAAAACTTTAACCTCACGTTGTCAAACCAGTTTGTCTCATCTACAGGCCAAGTCATAAGGAAACAACGGGAAGATCAGATCAGCATGTCAGAGCTCTGATTCATACACTGTTTATACCCAGGTATGTGGAGGAAGTGCTCACCTGTCCATTTCCTACAGAAGTATAAAAGCTCCATTAAACACATTCTCCTCTCACCGTGAGAGAAGACGTGACGGACATGTTCCTCCAGAGCAGTAAGTTGTGATCGTTGTTACATTGATCCTGGTGTAAAGGTGTTAGACTTTCTGAGATACAGTGTGTTAATAGTTTGTTTCTCTCTGTGGAGATCAATAATTACAAATTGATTGTCATTATTCAGACATTTGTCTGTGAGGAAACTTGTTCCTTTGATTTTCCAGGAGTGACGTCTTCAGACTGTTTGTGTTTTAGTGAATGAAGCTAAATGTTGAACCAAATGATTTTGTGTCGCTTCGTGATTCTTCATGATTTGAATAATAAAAAATTGTATTAATCTTTATTTGATCGACTTTGAACAGAGAGAATCAGACACATTCATCGTGACTTTAATGAGCTGTAACTGTCGTCCTTAGAAACACAGATTTCAGACAGGACAGAGCTGCTGCACCGAGTCTGATGTAAAGAGAGAGGCGACGTCACAGGTAAAGTAAAAGTTCATGTAAATAATGATAATGAACCTTTTACAGCTCTAAAGCAGAGATAATGTCACACAAACCTTTGTTTTCTATGAAAACAGAAAACAGCTGTTTTTCTCTGAGCTGCAGTTCTGCTGACAGACTGTGGGGGGCGATGTGGAGTCGTCAAGCAGCTTGAATGAAGTGTGAAGGTGAAGAAGGATCAACAGTCCAGTTCTCTGTTCTTTGTCTGAGTTTGTGTTTAAAACATCATCAGACCACATTGAACCTGAATCAGACAATAAGCTTTGAACAGATGTGATCAATGTAGTGAGAGACAGATCATCATGAAACTCTGACACTGCAGTGAGTCCTGTTCAGCAGAGAGCTGAGAGCTGAGACAAGTGTCAGGAGCAGAGGAGAGTTTAACTCTGGTGCCATCTTGTGGCAGAAACACATCACTGCAGCTCATGAAGTTTTTCTCTCTGAATGTGAGACGTCAAAACAAACGTGACATCACAGTGACTGTAGCTCACATTGTCTCTGACATCATCATGGAGGCTTGGTGTCCGTCCTCTGATCAGCTGTTTGTAATGATCAGGATCATAAAGAGGAAGCAGCATCGTACTGACTGAATGAAGTCAGACTGTAGATTTTCCTTCTTTGGTCTCATGTGTTTGTGACTCTTCAGCTCTGTCTCCTCTCACAGGGAGAAGATGATCTGCTGCATCCTGCTGCTCCTCACACTGACCTCCTGTGTCTGTGGTTAGTTTACTCCTTCACTTTATTATCTAGAAACTGATACAAGTCCTCAGTTAGTCTGCTCCTCACTTTCCCTCTCTGTCTCCTCAACAGGAACATTTGTAGTGAATGTGACACAGAGCTCCTATCAGGCAGAGGAGAACCACAACATCACACTGGAGTGGAGCTTCACAACCAAACCTCACACTCCATCTGACTTCCTTTATATTCTATGTGAGATGTTTACTGATGATCTCAAAGTCTCAAAAGTCCTGTATCATCTACATGAGGGTGTTGAGGTCCCAGAGTCTCAGAATAAACAGTTTTCAGGACGAGTCCAGTGTGACAAAGACGTCCTCAGAGAAGGACGAATCAGACTTCATGTGTCCAGACTGAGGACTGAGGACTCAGGACTGTACTGCTGTGAAGTCAACGCAAATTATTTTGCAAACTTTGGCAAATGTCAACTCAACGTCTCTGGTGAGTGAATTAGCAGTAAAACAAGACTCTGCTGCGATGCTAGCAGCTCTGTGAGGCTGTGCTGTGGGGAAGTGATGCTTAAAGCTAAATGCTAACACATCCGTTTAGCGTGTTAGCATGCTAAATACAGGAACCTGGATCCATCCAGTAGCTGCTGAGATGTTTCAGTCTGGACCAAAGTCATGGACAGACCGATCCACATATATATTTTTTCCCAATTACTTCTCTCTATAAAAGCATTTTAGTACTTTTAAAATACTTTATATGTTACCATGGCAACCACTGATGCAAAATAGGATTATATTTAGTCTTTTTTTCTCATTTGTTTTTCTCTTTCACCGACACATATTTCCCTTTCAGATAAATCAAAATGTTTATGTTCTTTACAGCAGCTGTTGATCAGCCTGAAACTCAGAGACCAACTGAGAGACCAGAACCAGAGAGTCGGGGAAGGATCGTCTTCTACACTGGACTGGGACTGACAGCAGCAGCAGCAGCAGCTCTACTGGTCAAACTCTGCTCTGCCTCAAGCCATTGTGCCACTAAAACTCCCGATAAAACAGTAAACCTTTATTCCAGGACAGTAAAGCTCCGTTTGTCAGAAAGCAAAGTTGCTCTGTCTCTGCTTCCTTTCACCCCGTTGGTCCTCAAGGCTCCTTTTCCCTGCACATCCATGCTGACCTCTGACCTTTCATGTCTCTCACTGTCTTCATGCAAACAGAGAGAGGTGACCATCACCTGACTGAGGACGAGTGTCTTGTCATAAATGACATTTGTGCTTGTAAAGTTTATAATGTGAATATAATGTAAATAAATCTCTTTTTATATGAGAGAAGTTTGTTTCTTCTCTGTGTGAGAGTCTTAATGTCAGAGACCCAGAAGTTTCCAAGAATTAAGTTGAAATAAACATCAGAGATGTTTTGCAACAAGAAACTGCAGGAGCTACAAACCATGGTACGACGACCAGTTCTTCCTCTTGATGGTTGGTTGGTGGCAGGTTGGTCGGAGCGCGGTCGGTAATACTCTGACAGGGAAATACATGAAGATACAAATAAATAATGTAAACTCATGAGCTGAGAAGAGAGAAGCTCATTAGAAGCTGGAAGTTATAAATTATTATAACTGACAGTGTGAAACTAACAGTAAAGGTAACTGTAAACTTCACCTTCTTTATAAGTTACTGATGAAAGAGTCACTTTCTAGTGTCTGTGAAACTCATCTACATGTTCACCTTCAGCAGAGGAAGAAAAGACCCAGTAACATCAACACAGGTGAGTTAATGACTGAGGCTCAGACCAACAGCTCCCCCTGCTGGCCGTTTATCAGAAGGGATTTTACCTGCATGTTTACCTGAGTGTTACAGTGATCCAGGCTGATGACAGAGGAATGGTCAAGTGTTTCTGGAACAGACTTCAGCTTTTAGCTTTAACATCAATAACTATATCCTCTCTCTCAGAGTTCAGCTCTGGCGCCATCTTGTGACAGCCATGCTAACAGCTCTGTGAGGCTGTGCTGTGGATGAGTGGTGGTTAAAGCTAAATGCTAACACGTTAGTTTACCCTGTTAGCATGGGATACGTCCATGGACACGATTCATACCTCATCACGTAGAACGTGCAGCGAGTGCCGTCAGTCTCCTCTCCTTCAGTCTATGAGTCTCTTATCGTCCGGTCACAAAGGAACCTGGATTAAACTTCTCTCTGGACTTTCATCCTCCTCTTGGCTTTCCTCTCCTGCTCACCTGTTGAAGGTAAACAGACACGTTAACACCGTATAAACTACTTTAATACTGAAGAAAACTCTGAAACGTGATGATTCTCTTTTTTCTGTTTTTATAAGCGCGTTGTTGGACGTTTCTTTGCTATAGACACGAGAGATATTAGTGTACTGAATATAAAGCTGTTGAAGCCGTTAAACCTAATCAACGTCAACAGTTAGCTTGTTTGCTAGGCTACTGTTAGCTCGTAAATTTTCGCGCCTGAAGTCTTCAACGAGTCTTGACTTTAATGTCGAAGGGTCTTAAATATTCTCTCTAGCCTTGTGTAATCAGTTTAATCATAATGGAAATAATAGTTATCTACATTTACCACATGAATTATTGACAAAAGCATCATGACCAATTATTACAACCAGTCTTTGATGCTCACAGCAGGGTTATAAGCATGGTGGCTAATTTTTCTCCTAAAGGCCAGAGCTGTTGATATGTGATCACACAATATACATCAACACTGTCATGCTGTTTATCCACGTTGTTTCAGCAGCTCCTGACCTCTTCTTCCTCTTGTGTTGATGTCACTCTGTCTCTCAAAAAGTTTTTGTCAAAATGATTCTTCAAAAATTACAGTCTCTAATTTTGGGCTGGAAATGAAGCTGAAACAATTAATTGACAGAAAATAATCAACTAAAGTCTTTTTTTCAAGCACAAATAACAAACATTTACCTCCAGCTTCTCAGTTGTAAAGTTTTCCTGCTTTTCTTTGTGTCATGTGATAATGGACTGAATGTCTCTGGGCCAGTTTGTTTTACCATACAAACAATTTAAAGACATTTATCTCGGCTTTATCAGCATTTATTTGACCAATTTTTTAGACCAAACGATCAATCAAGAAAATATCATCAGATTAATCTGGGATGAAAATAACAGCAAATGCTTCAGAAACATTTCAAAATCAAAGAGAGAAAGACATTACCTGACGTCCAACAATAATCATTTAAAAGATGTATAAATTACATTCATTACATAAGTGATGAGCTGAGAAGAGAGAAGCTCTTAAGAAGCTGTGAAGTCACAAAATAACCAGAGTCAGTTTGTAGAGGTCAGTCAGAGACAACAGAGAGAATCAGGCACATTCACTGATTCATGTTTAAAAAACTCATGTTAGACTTTGATCGGAGCTGTAACCGTCTGAACATCCCATCAACAGTAAACAACAGAACCTGGGCAACATCTGAGCCCTTTGTGCTGGAAGGTCAGAAGCACCAAGTTCCTTGCCAGAAGTTTTCCCAAAGAAGACTCCAACAGTTTGTCACCAACAACAGAAACATGATGATAAACTTCATTAACACTAGTGTTTTTACACAGCACAATAATGAAGACAGACAATTATAATAATGAAATATTCAGATTATATGAGAAGACAGAAGATCAAACATGGACTTTGACCTAAAAGAGTGAATGTGACACATTAGACACATTAGTCAGGAGACACCGTCCAGAACATCAGAGCACACTACACCTGAATCACACAGGAAGCAGTCCACAAAAATAATTCAGTTTGTAGTAAAGAGACAATTTAACAAAGAGTTTCCACCAGACCAGTGACAGATCATCACCACACCTGACACATACAAAGCACAGCTCAGTGAGACGCCAACCAGCAGCAGCGACAGGTGCAGATCTAGAAGAGCGAGTATGAAGGAACATGTTACAGGCGCCGTCTTCACACCAGTCACTGTACTGAGTCTCTGCTGCTGCCGTCTGCAAACCACAGAGGGGGAATCACTCTGACAGGCTGATGACAGCAGGTCTGTTTGAAACTGTTGAACCACGTGACTGTTGCCATCTCATTTCCTGAAAAGTCAGCTTTCGAGGAAACATATATATCACAAGTGTCGGAGACGATGTGAACGCTGAGTTTGTCTGTGTTTTGTGTCCACTGTGGATATTCATACGACAAAAATCTCCTGGACATGAGAAGTTTTTACAGGCCCCAGGAGAACGGCTCTGCTCTCGTCGTTGCAGGTAAGATTTTCTTTTCCTGTTGTTGTTTTATTTCCAGGAGAGTTACATCATCAGCTTGTCCAGTATTTTTAATATATTTCCTATGAAGCTCAAAGTGCTGAAGCTTAACATCAGACATCATGTGAAGTAGAGTTTGTGTCGCTTCATGATTCCTCAAGAATGAAATAAGTCATATTCATCCTGTAGCATGTTGGTGATAGGTGGGGGTGATGCGTTCATGGACATGAGACATGTTGACTTACTGTTCTTCACAAATACTCTACATTCTTCTGGTCACCTAAAGTTTCTTGTTACACCATGAGTGAAATGAGTTGCTCAGTGGATACGGTCCCTGGAGTCCTATCACAAAACCTCTGGTGCGTACGATGTGATAAGATCTGATATGTCATAACCACAGACCACAAGCTCACACAAACAAACCTCTGGCTGACTTCCTATCAGATTAGACAGACTCATGGCTGATGTAGACTCATTAGACTTTTATTCAAGCTGTAACCGTCTTTAATATGATGCTGAAATATCACGAGGACAAACAGAAGAGAGTCAGTGAGACAGTCAAGAAGGAAACTGCATTTCACAGCAGGTCGGTTTGTATGAACCGTAAATGAGCCTGTGGTTTTCTTGTGATGTGGCAGGACTTCGTTTCCTCTGTCTTTCTCTGAACTGCAGAACCATGTTAGCAGAGCCGTTTCTTGGTATATGCAGACTATGCAGATGCTTGGGGCCCCTGCAGCCAATAGGGGCCCCAAGCTGCAATCTCAGCCTCAATACATTTGGGGAGAATTACAATGATCTGTCTTTATTTGTAGCCAGCAAAACCTCCTCATGTGTTTAGTGAAGCGCTTATATGCTAAAAGATTTAATGTAGGATATAAACAAAGCTAATCTCTGATGGCAGGGAAGCTGTGGCTTGTGTTTCTGGGGGATTCATTATTAGGCTGTCTCGTAATGAGTGACGTCTGCCGACAGGTATGATGAGATGACTGACAGCTGCACGTCACGTCAGTGAGCAGGTAACGGTAGCGATAGAAACAGTATCATGGCATCAAAAAGGACATTTCCCTCTGGTGCAGAAAAAACAAGAAAACTGAAGAATTAAAACACTCACAGGGAAAAGGTCAGGCATTTGTTAATGATGTAGATTCACTTGTGGGGTGGAGGGGGAGCTGTAATGTTAGCCAACTTTGGAGCAAGTTGCTACTTTTGTCCAGCTAGCTAACTCAGCTAGCCTCAGCTAAATTGATAAGTTAGCTAGCTCAGCTAGCCTCAGCTAAATTGATAAGTTAGCTAACTCAGCTAGCCTCGGCTAAATTGATAAGTTAGCTAGCTCAGCTAGCTGGTTAGGATTGTGTGTATGCAAATAAACCCATCTTTATACAGTGTGTGCTTTATGAAAGAGTTAAAATACCATATATATTATTGTAACATTACACTTTGGGTGTGTTGTTGGGCAAATGTCGTCACAGTAACATTACTTTAGGATTGTTTTTAGGATAATTGTGTTAAGTTTAGTGTGTTGTCATTTTATAGGCCTATAATGTGAATTTTGCGTTATAAATAAAACGTATTATATTATCAGGCCTATCATTACTATTATTAGTAATAAGTAGTCCTATAGTGTTGTATATGTACTTGGTGGTTAGTTGACGACTCTGCTGATTTAGCTGCAGTCTTTGCCACATTTATTACAATATTTATTGTGACAGTGCAGTGAGCTGATTTGAACAAACCTCCCTCTATTCCTACAGTGAAGTTAAGTTTTTGATGTAGTTTATGTGTTTTTTATTCAACACAACCATGATAACACAAATTAAAGTAAATTTAATTTCTACTATACTGTATGTGACCGTTACTTCTGCCCTCAGTAAGAACACAAGGTGAGACCATATCATCAGTTAGATACAGTTGTCCACTTTGTAATGCCCTGCAAAATATTGATAAAATACTCCTAATATGTAAGTGCTTATCACTAATAATCCATTGTGTTAATTATTTAAAGAGTACAATGTGCAGATGAAAGCAGAAAAGCCTGAAAGTGACAACTTTGAAATTGGGTGCAACTTTAAAGGGACACTGTATAATTGCAATTGTATATGTATATAATGTATGTATTGTATATGTATTATATATAGATATATAATTAATAATAATCCATATATATGTGTGTGTACAAAAAAAGCAGATTATAAAAAGTGCAACATAACTGAAATCATACTATAGTAATATTTTCTTATGATCAGTTTCTCTTGGTAACCTAAGGAGCTTTGTCTTTGCAGGTGCAATTCTGAAATACTTTGGAGTTTTGAGGAAGATAATGAAAACATTAGACTGATCATATACATCATGATCACAAAGTAGTGTCATCATGTTATACAGTTAAAATGGTCCTGAACTTTGTTCTCAAAATTTAAAACAAACATTTGTGAGGAAACTGCTGCATCTGTTGCAGGTCTTGACATAGAGGAGCCTCATTGTTTACCTTTTATTCTCATTTTCTGTAGGTTTAAATTGCTTGTATCAACTTGAGATTATAAATTTGAATGTGAGAGAGTTTTTCACAAATCTAGCCTTTTCTCCTCTTAAAGTCTCACAGATTGATGCATCATCTCCACGGATCATCTTAAAGGGTTTAGAATCCCCCCCATCGTAGTTTTACAAAGTAGGGGCCCCCAAAAAGCTAGAAACGGCCCTGGGTGTAAGATTAGGAAGTGTATACAGGAGTGGAGAGTTTAACTTCTTGTGACAGAAATATATTTCTGCAACACTGAAGACTTCAACTATTAAATATCTTCAGATAAAAACAAACTGTAGGTTTTTTAATATTGTAATTGTTGTACAGTGCAGTGGTTGTAGTTCATATGGTTTTTGGGATTCATCATAAAGTCCTTTGATCAGTCGTGTGGATGAGGATCAGGATCATAAAGAGGAAGCAGCATCGTACTGACTGAATGAAGTCAGACTGTAGATTTTCCTTCTTTGGTCTCATGTGTTTGTGACTCTTCAGCTCTGTCTCCTCTCACAGGGAGAAGATGATCTGCTGCATCCTGCTGCTCCTCACACTGACCTCCTGTGTCTGTGGTTAGTTTACTCCTTCACTTTATTATCTAGAAACTGATACAAGTCCTCAGTTAGTCTGCTCCTCACTTTCCCTCTCTGTCTCCTCAACAGGAACATTTGTAGTGAATGTGACACAGAGCTCCTATCAGGCAGAGGAGAACCACAACATCACACTGGAGTGGAGCTTCACAACCAAACCTCACACTCCACCTGACTCCCTTATTATCTTCTGTGAACTGATCACTGATCTCAGAGACTCAGTCCTGTATCATCTACATGAGGGTGTTGAGTCCCCAGAGTCTCAGGATGAACAGTTTTCAGGACGAGTCCAGTGTGACAAAGACGTCCTCAGAGAAGGACGAATCAGACTTCATGTGTCCAGACTGAGGACTGAGGACTCAGGACTGTACCTGTGTGAAGTCAACACAGATTATGGTGCAAACTTTGGCAAATGTCGACTCAACGTCTCTGGTAAGTAGATCCAGTAGAACTCAGTAGAAAGCTCTTTTTATAAATGGTTATCAGTGTTGTACAGACTCTGCTGCTGAACTAGACTTGATGGAGTTTGGCTGCTCAGCTCTATAATATTTATAGTTTTTTTCATTGTTCTCTTCAGCAGCTGTTGATCAGCCTGAAACTCAGAGACCAACTGAGAGACCAGAACCAGAGAGTCGGGGAAGGATCGGCCTCTACGCTGGACTGGGACTGACAGCAGCAGCAGCAGCAGCTCTACTGGTCAAACTCTGCTGTTCCTCAAGTCCTTGTTTCACTAAATCTCCTGATGAGACAGTAAACCTTTATTCAGAGGTGTAAGAGTGACGTTCCTCAGAGGGCAGACTTCTCTCTGTCTCTGCTTCCTGTCACCCTGTTGGTCCATGAGGCTGCTTTTCTCTGCACACCCAGTCTGACCTCTGACCTTTCAGCTCTCTCACTGTCTCCATGCACCGAGAGAGACAAACTGAGAGACTGGATCAGACCGGCAGCACTAACAGGACCTTCTTACTGTCAGAATGAGTCTCGATTGTGATATGAAAGCTATATTTATATTACAGTTTCAAATTGTAAATTTAAACACAGCTTTTCATTGACTCATATTTAATATCCAACTGTATCAGTTCTGATGTTTCTGGGAACCATGTTTGTTGAGGTTTCAGGCAAAGACGTGTAAACAGTCAGTGTGGTCGTCAGTTCTTGTGATGCGTCTCGTCCGGTTGCTTCATGAAAAGCTTCACCTGTCTGAGACCTCTCCTCCATGAACACTAAAGATACGTGATGCTAGGAGTAAGATGTGCTGTTACTCCCATTAAAGCTTATTTCACTACAGTTTACAGTCTTCGTCTCTTTCTCATTTTTCCGTCTCTTCCTTCGACTTCACCTGCTTCTTCTTACAAATTCAAGTCAAGATCTCTAAAGATAGAGGTATCGGAGCCGTGGGACCGCTCTGATGACACCAACGACACAGTCTCTGGCGATTGGATATGACATGTTGATTTATTGTGAATCAGAACAAATAGTCAAAGCTCAGTGACACTTCAGCACCGTAGGAGTGTAAAACCAACCATCAAACTACTATCAAATACCCCTTCCTCTCCACAGCCGCAGGTACATTTATCAAAGTGACATCATCTGACATCAAAATACAGATTTCAAACATTTAAAACTGGGTAATTATTTTAAAGTTTCTCAACAAACATGGCTTCGACATCACAGAGTGCAGACTCTCTACTTTCCTTTGCCTAGTCTTGATAAATCAGTTTGTTTTTCATACATTTGAAAACAAGACTTTGTACGAGAGTTCATTTTATACTTTTATTTTGGTTTTTATACAGAATCCAGTCCCACCCCTGGATGTGGTTAATGGACTCCACCCGCCTGCGGAGGCGAGTTGTCGCTGTCGTCCTCCCAGGACGAGGAGGTGAACCCTGCAGGAGCGGAGATGGAGTGAGGCGCCGGGGTGTGGCCGAGGCCTTGGTACCGTCCGCTCGAGGAAGGGGAGGAGGGCATCGATGTGGCCGGCCGCTGCGATGGGGTCCTGGGAGGACGCTGTGCAGGAGCCGGTGTGTTTCGGTGTGTTTCGGGTCGAGCTTGATGTGCCGAAATACATCTTGTTGGGACGACCAGGAACGTACGACCTGACGGGGGGACGAGAGGGGATGTTCACCACAGCTGCAGGCATGCGAGAGTCTCCTCACAGGTAACACAGGTCACCAACTACAACCAGACATCACGTCCAAAACTCAATCATCACTCACCAAACATGGCGGACCTGCTCTGTGACAATCAGCTCGAATGTCTGAGAAATCCCATATGGCCAGAAAGCTGTCGAGACATGACCCCTCCTCTGCTTCCTGGATGGAGGGATGGGGAGGAGGAAAGAG